GTATACAAATCAGCTGTGGATCTTGTTAAAGTGCAGGCTCTGACTTAGTAGGTCTGGGGTGGGGCCTGAGATTCTGCTTTCTAATGAGCTCCCAGAGATGCCAATGCTGTGCCATCTTGGGAGAGGGCATCAGGTCAGTAATGTCTTAAATTATTTTGCTCTACCTGGGTGCTGGTACCAGGTTGTACTTCCAGACACTCATAAAGGCATTCTCACCCACGAGTGGTTGTTAAAATAAGTGTTTTTGAGGGAAACATGAGGGCTAGCACCTCTCATTTTACCATCTTGCTGATGTCAACCTAATCAGTTATCATTTTACCTAAAAGACAGACAGAGAGAAAGACATTGAGTTTTAATTTTCTGGAATGTCTCATAAAATCAGGGGTCAAATGAAAGTTATGGTGGAATCAGCCATGAACGGATGCTATGCTACTGCTTCTTGGTGCTCTGTGCTTGGGGACTGGAGGGTCACAGTCACAACCAAGTCTCATTGGGGATTTTCCACCATGACATTTAAATCCAAAGTTGTTTTTATTAGTTTCTTATCACCATACTACCACCTCACGGTCCATCAATATATTCTTGGGGTTTAAAAAAAAAAAAGAATTGAGGCCTTTTGAGCTCCTTCTTTTGCTCGGCCCACTCCAAACTCATTGGAGTGTAATTTTCTCCTAATAATGATGCCCTTGGCCCTTTGGGCCCTGGCCCTGGCCCTTGGCCTTGCCTTTTTGAGCCTTTGTCACGCTTTTGCTTGAGCCCGCTCCTAACCCTTTGGAGTGTACTTTCTCTTCTAATAATGGCCCTTGAGCCACTGCCTTCTGCTCGGGCCTGCTTCTGTTTCTTTGAAGTGTACCTTTTTTTCTAATAAACTGCTCTTTCACTACTTTCAAAAAAAAAAAAGAATTGAGTTGGTTAAAGAAAGGATAATAAATGTGTTGCAGAGAGCACCACAGGCAAGTGGATTTAGGACACTCAGTAGGTCATGTATGCCACACTTCCTTTCAAGAGTTAACAATATGAGGCCTGACAATTAAGTTCTCAAAATTGCCACCATGCGCTTCCATTGGCCCTGCTGTACAAGCAGCTTGGTAAGATTTCACAACCTTGGTATATAAGTGTCTCACAGCAGTGTGTGTGTCGATGTGTGGTGGTGTTTTGCTGAGTGGCGTTCGTTATTGTTGTTGTATGTTTTTGTGTGCCATCATGAGAATGTCTGAGCTTGAATTAGAGCAATGAATGAACATTAAATTTCTTGTTAAACTTGGCAAGAGTGGAAGTGAAATTAGGGACCTGTTAGTCCAAGTTTATGCCATAAACTTATGGATAATGCCATAAAGAAAACGGCAGTGTACAAAAGGATTAAATGTTTTTCTGAGGGGAGAACACGATACTGATGAAGAGAGGTTAGGGCCACTAGTAATGAACAGAACTGATGAAAACATTGCAAAAATTCATCGAATACTGTGTCAAAATCGTTGGCTGACTGTGAGAAGCATAGCTGACCAAGTAAATATTGATGCAGAAACAGTTAGGAAAATCATAACTGAGAAGCTTGGCTTGAGAAAGGTGTGTGCAAAAATGGTCCCAAAGGAGCTGACCAATGAACAAAAGCAAAGGAGAGTCGAAGTTTGCCAAGACATTTTGGAGAGGCAAGATGATGTTTTGGGCCATGTTAGCACTGGTGATGAAACATGGGTGTACCAATATGACCTTGAAACAAAGCTTCAAAGTGCACAATGGCAGTCAGCCGATTCTCCATGACTAAAATGTTCCGTCAGTCCAAATTAAGAGTCAAAACGATGTTGCTAACCTTTGTTAATATCAGAGGGATTATTCATTATGAATTTATACCAATTGGACAAACAGTTAACCAAGTTTACTATTTGTTTACTATTTGTAAGTGCTGAAAGGCTGCATAAAAAAGTTAGATGACAACGACCTGAACTTTTCATCAACATTCATGGCTCTTGCATCACAACAATGTACCAGCTCACACGGCACTGCCTATGAGCGAGTTTTTAGCCAGTAAACAAATAACTGTATTGAAACGCCCTCCCTACTCANAAAAAAAGTCTCTCTATATTCTACTTTCAACTTCAAGGGACTAACTAAACTTCAATATCTGCAAGGTCTGAATTCCTGATCAATGCCTCCTTAGTTAACATAATTGGGCCATCTAATAGCCAACATCTCAAAATTGGGAGAATATTGTGTGTAAAAGCCGTTGCATGGCACATAATACCATCAGATAAAGATGGCAATTAGATCATATGTATCCCCTGTGAAAAGAAAATTAGCAAAATTAAAAAGTAAATTGTCAGGGTATCGGCTCTTTCTCCGCCCATTTTGTGATGATGTCTGGTGGCTATTGCCACAGCCATTGCTCGGACAGAGTGCTGGGTATATAATGCCAGTGGGGCTTAAAGATAGGGCAGAGACACATAGTTGGCAGAGATGGCCGAAGGAGGTAGGTGAGTCTCAGGGAGGACGATAGTGAGTAAGTTGCTGCTGTGGCTGAAGATTTTCCCCACTAATGGTCAATTGCCAGTGGGAGAAATTCTACCAGGAGTCAGTTCTACCCTTAGAAGTTACCATACGAAGCCCAGGGAGATGCAAATAGAGGACAATAGATATCACTCCTTAACTCTTCCAGGACATGCATTTGTTCTGTGGGAGAGAATATGTAAAGAATTTCACTTGCTTCCCGTGGACCAAAGAAGTTCTGAGCTTTGTTCTGTTTCCTCCTTAGATTATGGATACGTTATGTTTCGCGTAATCGAAGCAGCCTATGGTGAATATGCTATTTTTCACACCGTGAGTTTCGACAATAGGAAAGAAGTCCAGCTGATGATGTTGTATGGTAGAGTACTTTCATTCTGACACTCCTTTAAGGTTGGGAGGCAGGGGAAGAAAGGAAACCTGGAAACGAAGTGATCCTCTCATTCTTACCTTGGGATGTCTTTCTTCCTCTGAAAAGAGATGCTCACCTTGGGTAATCCCTCAGACTCGGTGGTAGGATGCTGATGAAATCTGTCATTGTGCCAGAAGGCTATCCCAAAGATGTTAAATTCATGACAGGTTATAATCCATCCTCAAGTCTTCTCCCTAAGCACCAATCAGTGCCATCTATTTTTCCATCCATCTGGAGACCCACCCAACAGCATGAACCTCAATGACCAATACACGAGACACAGCAGTTACTGTCAATCTTCCCACAGGCCAAGAACCAGATTTGCGTCCAGAAATAAAAACAAGGTTTGGACAAATTTGCCAAAAGCATGGAATGTATGAGGAAAACATTATTGATGCCACCAAAGTTGGTAAGTTTAGCTACCTTTGGTTTCCTCTTTCTAAATTCTCATGTTACTAAAGCAAGAAACCCAAGAGAAGATAGCACCTCCTATCAGTCCCCTTAGTCCTAACCTAGAAAAGCATTTGGTTTCTGTCTGGGAAATCACTGGGGTGGGTGTTTGAATGTGCTCTGCTCTGTTTCAGCAGATCGCTGTCTCCAGACCCGAGGGAGCTTCCTAGCCCAGTTCTTCAGGTTGGTAATACTTAGTAAAATGGGGTGGCCCAGGGATTATTGCCTTCCAAAAGCATTAGGAGTTTGTGTGCAGATATTAAAGTAAAAATAATTTAGTAATGAATGTTGTGGGGACAGCTTGAAATTTGGAGTTGTTCATCCTGGGTTCAGGACCCACTACTTCTGTGAGCTATAGAGCTTATGACCTAAGCAATTAAAGGAAAGCAATGATGTCTACCTTGCAGAGTTGCTGTGTGGATATATGCTGGTGAAAAAGGCTCAGTAATTGTTAATGTGCTACACATCATTAAGACTTAAATTTTAAAATGGGAAAAAAGTAAATGTGTGGAGTATGAAACTCAAATACGTTTCTGTTTGTGGTCTGTCTTCCAGGTCCAGAAGTCCATCACACCCTCAGATTTTTGGTCACAACATCTTGCTTTGATCTCTGTACAACTTTAACTTCTGATCTGGGAATAGAGCTGTCTGAACTTCCAGTTATCTTCCAACCTAGAAAACGGTGTCTTGAATTTCCTCATCTGTTTCCTACCTAAGATGTATTGTGGGGCTGCATTCAGATAACGTATGAGAATATCTTAGCAACTATGGCTTGTAGAAAGCACGTATTTAATAAAAAGCAGCTATGGCTTTTGCCATTCTTCCTCAGTGTATCAAAGCCTATTTAGAACTTTTCATGCAGAGGATGGCAGAAAGCAGCCTAGGATCCTTCATTGATTCCTATGTTTATACACAGGTTAAAGGAAGGTTAAGATGAGATCTGTAAGAGATTAAAAAAGCCATTAACTGAATACCCTTCTTCTCTCTATTCTGGCAAGTAACATAGGTTAGAATGCAGGTTGAAATCTATTTCTTCATCATTTTTTTCCAAAATAGAAATTCTCTTTGTCCTCAACTCAATCTAGGAAGTGCTTATGAGGCTCTGTATCCTTTTCTCATCTGTTTCTTCAGTGCTGAGTGAATGGTTCCTCACCTGGGCTCCAGGATCTTCCTTTCCATGGCCCCCATGTCATTTTGTGACAAGTTCTGTGACCTGATGGCCATCACTCTCTCACATGAAAGCATTAT